AGTTGGGATAGGCTCATGTTTATTAAAAGCCTGAACATCCAGGAACTGAGGAGACCAGCTGCTGAGTTTTTGGAGGACGTTKTTTATTTTTGCTGTAGGACTCCAGCTGTTCTACAGGTCTGGATTGTCTGGATTTTTCACAAGATTGGAGCATATATTTTAAAACCTGTAAATCCTTCTTTTGCATTAATGGTGCTTTTTACGATTGTGTAAGCTGCCATAGCAGATGCATTAATGCACCCCCATAGCATCAGAGAGGCAGGCTTTTGAACTGTGTGCCGATAGCCTTTCTACAGTGTTTTTTCATACTCTGTCCTCTTACTGGCAGGTAACCTAACCAGTTACAAATTGTTCCTATAGCTGTTTATTTGTATCACTTACCTTTTATTTTTCCAACTTTTTTGAAAAGTGTTGCGGCCATAAAATAATTGGCCTTTTTTTATTTAAAATAATTGTTTTTTATTTTAGTTTAAGTATTTGATATGTTTTTAGTATATTTCATTGTAAAAAAAWTTTTTTATCTTAACTTTTTTTTAAATTGGGGTTGTAAGATTCAAACACTAACATGTGCAGAACTTGTTTAAGCAGCACACCTCCCAACTTTCAGTTTTGACATTAATACAGTGAACTGTTTCATCATGACTGGCTGAGCTTAGCTCAGAGATCAAATGAAACTCTAAACACACACACACACACACACACACAATATCAGGGAAGGCCCAGCTGCCAGCAGTATGGTTATGTTTTTATCCACTCTGGCAGAAAGCTCAAAATTCTCTGCTGCATCCATCAAAAAGGTTAAAATTCACAAGTCAGTTTTTTTGCAACAAAATATAGCGTGGTCCCTCATCAAACTGTTACTGGAGGGTATTTCTGGTCGCTGGACCCAGCAGTGGGAGGACAGGGGGACTGAAGGGGTCTGTACCCGCCCTGGCTGGGGTCCAGAAAGGCTGGGGAAACGGGGTGGGCGTAGCCGATGTACTGGTGCATGAACTGTCCCTGGTGGGGCATTATTTGAGTGGCCTGCTGGCAGTTGAGGACGGAGAAGTTGGTCGGCATGTTGACGAAGACGCTGGCGTCCGGGGGAAGACAGCAGGAGGCCTGGGCCCGCATGAGGGGTGCGGCGGGCGGGGCTGGGCGGGGCGCGGCGGGCGGAGCGGACGAGCTGGATGAGGTCGCTGTGCTGGACTGTCGGGACGAGGAGCCCCTGGAGGTGTTGGCCATCATGGGGATGGTTTCCAGGAGGCGCCCGCTGGTGGTCCCGCCTCCCGTGGCCCCTGATGACGACAGTTCCTGCTTCGGTTTGAGGCAGCGGCAGCAACACACCGCGACCAAGGAGCCCACCACTACGAAGGCCACAAACACAGACCCCACGATCAGGAATGGCACGTAGATGGGCACTAGAAGACAAACGTTAAAAAATAAGTTAAACAGTTTTTAATTTAAAAGGCTTGTTTTGCTCCTCTAAACATGAATTATTACTGTGGAGCAAAAAAAAAAAAAAAACTAAACTAAAATATAGCTTTTTCTGTAAAAATACAAGATCAATGCTGAAGTTTTTTAAATTTTACAGAAGCCGAAACTTGGTTTAAAACTAAAAGTGGATAAATCTTGAAAATAAGCAACATCTAAACTGTAAAATGTGAGCTAAAAGTTGGAAATGCTTGCTACAAGTAGCAAAAACCAAAGCTAAAACCTAAATGTTGTACATAAAAGGCCAAAAACTAAAAATAATAGAACAGGAACTAAAAAATAAATAAAAGTATAGAGATGTTAAAATGGAACAAATGCAGGCTCAAAGCAAAACACTAGCTAAAAAGTAATAAAATGCTAGCTACAGGCTACATAAGTCTAATTAAAGCTAAGTATAGCACAATAGGWAAAGCAAGCTAAAAATTGCAAGTAGCAGAAAGTAAAAACTAAACAAAGCGAAATGCTAATATAAGCACCAAAAGGCTAGCTAAAGGCTAATGTAACAAATAGCTAGCTATAAACTAAACAGAGCAAACTAACTGGTTAAAGCATGTAACAAAACAAGCTAAAAAGGAAGAGCTAAAGGGAGCAAATGCTAGTTTAGTACCATAAAGATTAGCTAAAAGCTAAATGTAACAAAAGGCTAGGTATGAATCAAGTTATAAAGCCCTATAAGTAGCACAACAGTAGCTAAAAACTGAAAGGAGCAAACTAAATGTCAAAAGGCTGGCTAAAAGCTAAATGTAACAAAAGGCTAGCTGAAAGTAAAGTTTTAGCGAAAGCTAAAAGTAGCAGGAAGGTATTTAAAAGTGGCATCAGACGACCAAAATAAAGTCAATGTTGATGCAGATTAAAAAAAAAAAAACTATAGTTTTGAAGGAGTTGAAAACCTCTTGGTGCATTTTATGAGGAAAATGGTTCTAAGGAAAGTTAAATATTAAGTTTGAAAAAAAAAAAACATGAGCTTTAAGTGTTGAATGGTTAAAATGGCACAAAGTATGCAGTGGTTTTAAAAAAGCGTGAGCAGTGATTTGTGTAGAGTGGGAGAATAAAAGCTTTGGGAGTATTGTGTCTCCAGGGGGTCTCAGGCTCTCATTAGCAGTTATTAACTTTGTTTTGATCTGTTTTAATCCTCCACACCCTGCTGTGGCCCTCAGCCTCCTCGACCCCACAGACCTCTGTGTATTTTGGACCGGGTGACATTCTTAAACTCGGCTGCCAGTGGACATTTGTAACTTTTTTTTTCTTCAGCTATTTATGACTAAAGCCTTTGAAAACAAGTTACTGTAGTTGAACTGTAGCACTTGGCACTGGTTTAAAGGAACACGGGGCTGATTTACTGCAGCAGTGAGAGGTTATTCAGCCTTGTAAATCCTATCCTTTTTGTTTAAAACGGCAAACGGCTGGGTCATGTAGCAGAGACGTTGTTGAGCACATAAAGTTYGGACGTTTTTTACATGAGACTGCCTCAGTTTCAGAGCGCTAATGTGTGAAGTGAGCAGGAGGCCGCTCCAATAGCAGCTCTGAAATGAGATCAATAATTGTTCTTTCCAAGTTTGTCTAATTTCTTTGGCCAAACGACTCTAWGGACGTTTTAAAAAAATGAGGTCACTCATGAGGTGTTTGTTCATTTCCGTCCTCGCACCWTTCCAAGCACAACAACGTCCCCGTTACAAGTGATTAGTTTAGTGTTATAGTTCCCACAGGGTGAGGTTAATATTCCACTTTGACTGTTCCTGTGTTGCTGTGGGGTGTAACCGTACGCCAGAGGAGGGAAAGGAGGCAGTCGGCTCCAGTTTCTTTTTGTCACCGGGCCCTTTTGAAATGCACCCGTATGACTTTTTCCAAAATGCTCATCAAAAGTCACAAGGCATTAAAAGGATTACCGCATGAAACTCGTTAAGAGCTGGAGGTCTCTGTTCAGCAGAGGAGGCCGAGGCGCCAGGACATGAAACAAACCAGGACCTTGACCCGAGTGAGGGCGTCCGATCAAGAACAGCTCGCAGCTACTCATCTCGCAGTAAACGTTTTTTTTTTTTACAAAAAGACCACGTCCTCATCCTCGACACGTCTGCCTCTGCAGAAACTTTATCCCTGCTTTCACTACAGAGCTCCTTTCYAAATCCACGATGATTGAGTATAAAGTTTTACACGCACGGCCATGGAGAAAGTGTTTTAGTACCGAYGTAACAGAACTCTATTAAAGTAGCAAAACGCAGATTTATGAGTTGATTCAAATGAGTTGAAACTGAATTTTGTGTATCTAAAGGCTTAAACCAGAAATGTAAAAGGTTAAGAGGTTATTAARGGGTGGAAAAAAGAATAAAACTAAAAGCATCAAGAACCCATCTGCAAAGAGCTACCTTTAAAAGGTTGTTTGCAAAAAAAACTCTCCTATAAAATGTTGGAGAATTTTACAATCCCAGTTCTGAAAAGGTTGGGACGTTGTGAATTGTAATGCAGTAGTTTGCAAATATAAACAGATTTTATTCACAATGGAACATTTATTAAACTAAGAAAGTGAGCAATTTTTACCTAAATAAATTGCAATTTTTATTTCATGACAACACATTTAAAATCTAAAAATATGACTGTGTTTAAAAAAGGTAAAAGTTGTAGGCACCAACACTGATATATTTACAATGATTCACTTCGAGTTGCCCTCTGTTAGAAAATGTACTGTATAAATAAATGTTCCCGTCTTTACGCAACATCCCAACTTTATCAAAACTGAGGTTGTATCTCTTTGTCGTAGAAGTAAAATACAGATTTGAAACCCAAAAGAAGCTAAAAGCAGATCTCTTTTTTTTAATGTCTCAGACAAATGTTGAGCAATCCTAACCAGAATAGGCTTTAATGTTGAGATTATTTAGTCTTTCAAGGAGACAGACTTTTAAATCCTTCTTTTTCATCAAATCTTTCAGTTGGGTCTTTATAAAGTGGAACTGCAATGTTTTGGTCTGAATTCCTCATTATTGTAACTCCACAAGCCCCTCTTTCACCCCTCTTCTGAGGTGTGTCTCAGATCAACTCGTTTTGAGGCTGTCTCTTTAAATCCGAAGGCAGCGCTTCACACCCCGCCCCCCTCCAGCTTTCAGTTTGATAGAGGGGTTTAMGACTATATAGCTGCATGGGAACTTTTTATTTACAAATGATTTAAAATATGGCAACAGCGGACGATTTGTCCATCCAGCCCTAAGCTAGGTTTATAGGTGACCGCAATCAATTCTGTTTACAACATTTGCACAAGTTATAAAGTGCAACGCTACATGTTCTTAGGAGAATACTAAACAACATAGTGCTCAAGTATAAACGCCGCTGGCGGTGGTGCTTGCACCCTCTGCACGAGTACCCAAAGCACAACTATAACCCAGCCCGTACATGTTGGAGCCAGAGTCTGAAGAAAATGAAGACGATGAAACGGCACTTGGTAAGTCCAGATTTTATTTGGCAGTTCTGTCACRAATGTTGTAAGAAAACATCATAGAAAATAGGGAAAACTGAACGGGTTGAAAAATGTGACTCAAATGGAATATACAGGTATCTGCACAGCTCCAGGAGAGAATCAGTTTAAATAGTCTGCGCTCCTAGAGACTCCAAGTACACAACAAAATACATTTAACATCTAAAAGTGGATTTTGCATATGACTATAGAGTTCCATTTGTGCCAAAAATATGTTGTTGAGCCTTAGTCCATGTTCTTAAATCTTTAAATAAATGTACTGTTGACTGAACCAGACTTTCTTCCTCAGGTCAAATTCGGCTCATAACTGCCTTCCATAATTTCAGAGATGACTTCCATTCCTCTTGTTTGAACTGCTGAACATGGCGGTCGAAGCCCTCCTATTGTTTCCCGTCACTCGTCCACACCTGTTGCTGTAGCTGAGCCGTAGCAGCCGCCCTCCTCCTCCTCCTCCTCCTCCTCTTCCTCACTCTTAAGCTCTTGTTTTGGGCTGAGTCTTTGTGGCTGGACTCCCTCTGCCTCCTCGGGCCGTCCCACGGGGATTCTCTTGTTCCTAAATACCACATGTTCCCTCATGTCGAGCGCATTAATAATTTCCTGCTTGTTCTGCGTATCATTCTGAAATGATGGATGGGCTGGGAGCGCATGGAAAATGTGCAAAAAAAAYGCACAACTTGGTTTCACATAAACACACTTCCTCTGCGGCGTGAAGCGAATGTTGGCAGGAGGCCACTGAGCAGAATATATCCCTCTTCCTGTAGTGATAAGGTATGATGGGAAGAAATGACAGMTTACAATGTAGCTACAGTAATATCCCTGCGGGAAAACATGAAACGAGCCTCTCTTCATATTTGCTTCATTATCATCTTTGACCTTTTTAAAGATGCRACGCAGCTTCAAAGACTTTATGGAAGATTAACTTATGGGAATGTTGGCAGTAATGAATTGAGGGGCCTGAGCAGGGAAAGATGTTTGATTGTCACTTAATCCACGACATAAGCCGAAAAACACTGCTTTTGTTTCTGGGTTTTGATAATTATGCAGCAATTTGTGTGAATCTCTTAAAACCCACAGACACCAGAGATGCTACAGTGAGAGGAGGGAGGGAGGGTWTTTTATTGTAACAAATGGTACATAACATGATTTATTTTTTAAAAAAGTTTTATGAGCAGGGCAGTCAGCCCCCCTCGATGAGTGCAACTCCCCTAAGATCCGATCAAGGCCCACATCCGATCCCTGTGGGGACGGCGTGATTTGAGCCTGGCTCTCCTCCCTTTTTTTTGCACCGTTTCAGAACAAACAGCTATTTATAAAGTGCAGCAGCGGCGTGGCACAATCTGCCATTTGTGAGGGCAGCTAACTGCTGTCTCCTGAGCAGCTGTCCTTTTGACAGGAAGACACTTCTGGTTTAAAGAAGGGGAGGGGCCAGTGGGTCAYATTAAATGTATATTTAAACTCAATACATTCAAAACTCGTCAATACTTTAGGTTAAGTTAATTCAGTCAAAATCTGAGGGTTTTCCAGTCGCCTATTTATATTGGAAAAAAACTTTAGACAKTTATCTTGATTTATCACCCAGAGGTGAAGACAACAGTATTAATGTCGGTTAGCCAAAATATATCCTGTACCACTGGATGGATTATAATGAAACTTGTATAAAGTAATTACTGTACATGCACACTTCTGGATTCAACCCAGTTTAAGATGGACACCACAAAAATGGCTAGAATGCAGTCAGTTTTACAGTTATTCAGCTAAAATTAGGTGTGGTAGTAGCTGAAAATGGTCTGCAGCACATTCCACGAGAGCTTTGACCTAAACAGCTCTGTCTCTTCTCCAGTGATGTATAACAAATTACTTCATTAGTCATTTTTTTAAATCGTAACTCTCTTTTATTTTTTATGTTCAAAACATAAAATATTATACTTTTACTTGTTTACTTTAAAATGTAAGACCTCCTTACACTCTACAAATTTAACTATGACCAGAACTCATCGTGGAAGGAGTTGATTGTGGCCTCTAAAACATGAAGTGTTGAATTTACTTAAATTATGGTTCCACTGGTTGTAGAGCTGTGCATAAAATTTAAATCCAAAGCTGTATTTTTGAAAAACAGTTTTGTAGATTTTTTTTCTTTTTAATATCAACACATCCCCCTAAACTATAGGGGGCGGTATAACTTTCAGAGTAAGGAACAGCAAGCTTCACGTGAGATCAGTATTCTGGAAGTGCTTTTGTCCTTAAAAGCAGTTGTTTGGATACATTTGGTTTTATTATTATAAATAYATAATATACTTTTATAATAATGTTGCTGGTTTTGTGGAGTCAGTGGCATTGAGCGATAAGTATCGGTATCGAATCGAGCTGCACCTGATTGAGTTGTATTGTATCGCGAGCTCTGTAATGAAAATCATATTCCAGTGTCCTAGAAACACAGCTGAGTAAATTGTTTAAGATTTACTCAGCTCTGTTTATTGGAACCAGTTGACATAACTTGGTTAAGTAAATTCAACACTTCAATTCTTAGAGTGTAAAAGTGTTTACTTTTAATTTCATAATGATGTGTGAGCAGTTTTATGACTTAAGTGCTTTTCTTATTATGGAAATATTTTTTTTACCAAAGTAATTTTCTGTTAAGGTATTTTTATTGTTACTTTTTTTTTGATTATGTTGACACCTGTGTCTACGTTGAAAGGCGGCAGGAAAAGACCAGCCTTTAAGTTTTCTTTCAGTCTTTTGTGTTTTACGCACAGTGTTTCCAGTGGCAGTTCTGGGCTCCTACCTGCACGGGAGTCCTTGTCCTCCTTGCTCTCTGACCCGGGTTCTGGCGCCTGTCTGTAGTTCTCGCAGCTGCCCTGGTCCAGCCGCGCGTCCATGCTGGCGCAGCAGTAGCGCAGCTCGCATTTCCCGCAGCAGATGATRGCGTCCGCCGCGTCGATCTTCTCCGGGCACTGAAAGCCTTCCTTCCAGGCGCCCTGGGAGTCCTGCCAGCCGTGGCAGAACTCCCCGCTGGCCTTCACGTCTACAATGACCAGGAGGAGAATCACCAGCGCGGCGACGGACATCGGGAAACCTCCTCTCCKCATTCCGGGCCGGGGTCGCCGGCGCCTCTTTTGGAAAATATGGGGGAACTTTAGTTATTTTTTACTCCCCGCGTCGAACCTGTTGAGGAAGGTGATGATGTTTCAGGTCTGTGCGAGGAAAGAACCTGAGAGGATGGAGTGAGAAAGCTGCACACCTCTCAGACGCTGTCATTTGTCAGAGGAATCCTGCGCGTAAATCCGATCCAACGTGCCAAAAACGGATTGTCCTCCACAAAACACACAAAAAAAAGGTTGACAGTGAAATCAAAAGTTTAACACATATTCCAGAGTTCTTTTAAATCCAACGTGAGAAGACAAACTACTGGATTTCCTTTGGCGCTGCAGCCTGACCCGCGGGCGCGCAGCTGCTGGCAGCTCCAGTCCCGTGCGTAAAGAGAACGTTTCCAACTTTTGTGGCCCTCTCTGCATTGTTTTTAGTCAGAGGTCCGTCTGTCAAACGTGCCTCGCTGTTTCCAGATTAAAGTGCGGCGCGCAGCGTCTGCCTGAGTGTGTTTGAGGATGAGAGAGAGGGGGGCTTGAAGGAGGAACAAAAACCCACCTCACCGCTRCAGAGATGAACCGTGAGAATGAACTGGATCAGGTTACAATCGGGTCTGATACAACTTCCTGTTCAGACCTCTCACTTAACTCCAACAACTGCTAATAAAATAGCTAAAATTAGAATAATTAAAAAACCTGAATGTCTATTAAAGTTTTAATGTACCAAAGTGCTTTTGTTTTCAGTGTGGTGTATCTTTTCCTGACAAAAAATATTGAACTTTATGCCTCAATATTAAATTTGTTTGGAGAAATTATCTTAAATTAAAGTAAGAATTGTAAGTTAAATGAATTAAATGTTTCTCTGTAAGGGAGCTGCTTCACATCTGTTCATTCATTAAAATCCAACAGTGCCATCTAGTGGAGTTTTTCTACAAATACAGCATTGAAAATACAACAGATAGATCATGAGAACATATGTTGCATTGCAAGGTAAAATAAATAAAATCATGGGAAAGTCGCCCAGGGGTATTCAATAATAATACCATTACTAAATGGTACTTGTAATGGACTGTGCTACAAAATCATACAATAAATGTTTTTTTTTTTTTTTT